CATATTTGTATTAGGATTTGTATAATTCAGTTCAAATAGGAAAGTAAAATTCCAATCCAAAGTTGGATAGAAAAGCAAAAGAGGATATCTTACAATCCAAAATTGAAACAAAAAAATAAATAAATAAAATAAAAAATAAAGAAAAGGAGACAAGTCCTGTCAAACTTGGGACTCGAAGTGGGGGCAATATGTAAACACTAAAATTTTAGTGGGTTTTGGTTTTAACAAATTGACCCATTAAATATGGGCCTAATGTTTAATTAGGTTATTTAATTGGCCCAAGCTTGGTCCACTTAAATTATTTAATTAGCCCAGCCCCGATGGTTAAATAAAAAGAATAATTATTCCTAAATAATTATATTTGGAATAATTATTTTTAAGGATAATTATCATAATATAACAGGCCTAACCTAGTTATTATTTTATTCTTATCAGGAGATAACACGTGTCATCATCCTATTAATCCAAGAAGCCTATAAATAGAGGCCTAAAGGAAGAAGGAAGACACACAAATTCAGAAATCCAGAAGGTCCAGAAATTCAGAGACTCAGAAATCCAGAGGGTCCAGAAATTCAGAGACATCAAATTCAGAATTTAGAAATCCAGAATTCCAGAGAAAAATCTCATCCCCAATATCCAAATCCAAAAGCGAAGAACACCAAGCACATTCAAAGTTGTGCCATTCTTCATCAAATCCACGGTGATCAACAACAAGCACATCAAATCGTGCTGTTATTCATCAAATTCCACAGTGATTCAAGATCAAGCTCGTGCAGCCCTTAGATCCAACCAACCAAAAAGGAGATCGAATCAGAAGACCTTATTCTTTATAAAGAATATTACAGAGGATTGTACTCCAAGTTTTATAAATTAATAAAATATTATTTTCTGCTCCATATTTTGTTTTTATTTATAGACTACAAAATTTGTGTGTACAGGGTAAATGACTATTTAGTTGATATATGATATTTATCACGTTCTTGCGTGTTATATATGGAAGGAAATCATAGTAGGTTGTGTTTTATATTTTATTCTTACGTAAAATGCGTATGATGCCTACTTGTATGATTTATGGTGTATTTAATTTTAATGCTAATATGTGGTTTATTTGGAGGCATGGATGAGTTGCCAAAGACATAAATATACTGCCTTATTAATTGTATGAACATAATATATACAATGGAAGCATGAATGATATGTTATTTTGTAAGTATGGATATAAACATACTTAAGGAAGCATGGATTAGTTGTCAAGACTTAAATAGATTGTCATTTAGATGATGTAGACAAAGATATACTCGTGAAGGCATGGAGGAGTTGCCAAGGCATTAACTTAGCGCTATGTAATTTAGATGATTAGATAATTGTCTATGGATATTGTGTTTGTGGATTAGGGGAAGTAACTAATCCTATGTGTGAATGAAATATTATTTTCTGGATAATAAACCAATATATTACATTTATGGGTTGAGGGAGTTAGTTTCCAAAGAAAATAATTATCTAGTGTTGTATACAGAGTATATATATATATATATATATATATATATATATATATATATATATATATACATACACTATTATCTATGAATGAGATCCTAGATTTATTAATTATCCTTTTTGTTACTATGTAAAATTAATTATCATCTTTTATTAAAGGTTAAAAACGGTATTAGGATGATTGTGGTTAAAAATTAGGGTTGCAACTCTGGCTGGGCCAGCCCAAATTTAGCCAAGCCCAACCCGAAATTTTCAGGGCTTGGGAGGTGTTTTTCTGTTCTAGGTCTGGGCTTGGGCTAGATATTCGGAGCCTGAATTAAATTCGGTCTGGGCTTGGGTTGATATTATATAAAGCCCGAAGTCTAACCCGAGCCTGGAAAGGATATATTTATTTTAAAACTATGTTGTTTTACAAGTGTATAATAGCTTAGTTGTTAGTGTGTTTGGGACTTTTCTTGGAAGAATGTTGTTCGAGTCCTTGTAGCTGCACAAGATTTCTTATTTTTTACATTCTAAATACAGAGGCGTGGGCTTATGGGTGGGCTTGGGCTGGGATTGGGCACTAGGCGGGCTCGGGCTGGGCTTGGACAAAAGATTTTGTACATGGGCTGAGCCTAAATTAAGTCTCCTACCCGCTCAACCCGTCTGAGTTGCAGCCCTATTAAAAATATATTATTTATTGGTTTTCAGAGGCTTGTTAGAGGGAACTTGCTCGTGGGATTGTCCCACTTTATTTTTAAAATTTTCAGGTCTTAGAAGTTCAAGTCTCAAGGTTGAGGATTCGCAACTTGGAGACTTATCTATTATTTATTCTTTCCAGTTATTTTACAGTATGCCATTATTCTGTTATTTATTCTTAGTACTTTTGTTTATGGATTATTGGGCATTGGATTTTGGTTAAGAGGTCCTTGAGTTACAGGATTCCCAAGGTGTAACATATTTAATATGGTTTTAAAGTTGGAAGTTTATTAATGGAATTATTATTTATTAGATTTCTTTCAGCAATATATTTATTTAAGTTTATTTCTTTGGAAATTTGTACTTGTTTAAATATTAATTGTTTTGATATCCCCTGATTTTTTAGTGTGGACATGATCAACTCATGTCTCTGAAATTAGAGGGTATCACAAAAGGCGGCGATGGTTGTGGAGGTGGAAAGCGGTGGTGGTGGTAGTGGTTATGGAAAGCGGCGGTGATTGAAGGCAATGGTGGTGGCAGTGGCGGCAGCGATGGTGGTGATAGTTTTTGGACTTGGAACACGAGGGTTTATTGGGAACTTGATTTAAAAAAAAAAAAAAATTACTTAGAAATGAAATGGTCATTCTATTGATTTAGTTGTGGAATAGATTTTCGTTCCAATAGAATTGTCATTCCCACTTTAAATTATATACCAAACAAAGAAAAGATTAGAATGGAGGTTTCGTTCCATTCCATTCCCATAGCATTAAAGTGGTATTGAAGCTTGTGATTAGTTTATACTCCATTTAGCTGTAGTTCAAGTAATCAAATTGATTGTAAACACAAAATAAATCATATTGTATAGAATCATATATGAAAACAACAATAGTAAATTAAGTAGAAAAGAATTTGCCTGATAGAGAGGCATGTGCAAATGCATTTTTTTAAAATTGATAGTCCTCCCTTCTATATAAATGAAACTTCAACTCCGAGCTATATAAATGAAACTTCAATTCCGAGCTATATGTAGATAAGAGTATAATGGAGAGGGATGAAAGTATTTTCCATGAATCTCAACCACTTAAGATATATAAAATTACAAAAACGTAGCCATTTTAAAGTGTAAAAGTTTATAACATTATTGCAACATAAACAGAAAATTCAAGTACAATGAAATCATCGCAATAAATATAATTTAATAATTTGTATTAAAATACCCATAGTAGAATAGAATCCAACTAAACCAAACCGTTTTTTCACGTTTCGGTTTTGTTCGGTTCTATTGGTTTAACCTATTAGGAAAGGTTTAATTTCAAAATATTCTAAAACCTTTCCAGTCCGAACTGTGTCACCCTACTTCTAATTATTGACAATACAAACATGCATACATATTGACAATACATATATGTGTACAATTTGCAATTCTAGGATTACTTGGTACATTCCTTTTCTAATCGAGTGCATCTTTGAGACTTCAACCTATACGTGATGAACCATGTCACTCTATTAGTTGGTTAATTGTATCGGTAGGGTTAAGAGATGGTGGTGACTTTGGAGGAGAGACGCTCTAGGTCGCCTCCTCTACCGGAAGTGCTCATGTGAGGTACCCTACCTTCATTCCTATATAAGCATCTGGACTTGATTTGTGCCATTCACGGTGGCTGGTAGTGATTCTTCGGGAAAATAGGGGTTTGTCTAGTTGGTGGGGTGGCTTGCCATTCACGATGGTTGGTGGTGATTCTTTGGGAAAATAGGGTTTGTCTAGTTGGTGGGGCGGCTTTGGGAGGGCTGCGAAATGGAACACTGGCATCAGAGGGCAGGTCAAGAAGGATTAAAATCCTCTCCTGCGCTATAGTTCATCCTGTCCCAACCAGTGAGGAAAAGTAGTGATAAGCTTTATGAAAATGTTGGGACGTTTGACCTTGCATCCCAACATTTTAGTAAGATTGAACACTAATTCTCCTCGCTGACCGGAACATGATGCATTGTATCCGGTCGAGAAAGGCTTGAGCTTTATCAATTAATGCCATGTTGGTGTTGCTCTTGACAAGGGCTTCTACCCAATCGACTGGATCAACAGATTCAACCAAATGTCTTGCACACTTAACCAGTCCTCTTCTGGAGGATCATGCAATTCTTCACCCCATCCAGTTGTTTTGTCGAGATTTTGTGGGCTGGTGGTGTGAGATCAACCTAGTAGGCTTTTAGACAATTCTTCTGATCTTCTTCATCTTCCTTTGGATTGCCAGAGTTCTTTAATCTCACAGTGCTTCTTGAGGATAGGTCCTTCCATGGATGGGGACGACCCTTCAATAGCAAAGACTGAGGTGGCCAGAGATGGAGTAGCTACAGCGTGCAAGATCGTGCCCAGGATGAGGAGTGAAGGGTCAAACATACGAAAGAATCTGGAGATGGAGAATCTACAATAGTACTATTTCAAATTGAAGAATCTGCATCATAAACAAACGACCACAGGAGATTTACCAAAGAAAACCTTATGCATTAGGGAATGAATAGAAAGAATCAGGGAATGAATCACTGATAACAAGTCAATCTCATACTGGTCCACTGAGTGCTTATACAACTGCTAATAATCAGCGAAAAAAGTCGCATAGAATCTATATTACAATTCAAAAACAAGGGGAATCCTGTAACTAAAAGTACATAATCTAGCAGAGCTTTTCAAATTAGAGAGGTGAAATACTGCATATTCATATGTTACTGCTAATGACACTTTTCACTTCTTTAAACAAAACAAAATTGAAAGGTCTTAAATGCACATTGGAACCTGGATTTTCATTCAACTTTTGGAACAACCAATCACCAGATAAATAAGTATAACATATACTTGGAATAAACAATTAATGTCTGTACCAGTTGCTGCTTGGGCACCGGCACATTCAGACACTTCGTGACATTTGTTCAACACAATATGAAACGCTTATACAATGAGTACGAGCTGAACCATATTTAATAAGGCAACAATAAATCTTGGCACACGTTGTTGCAGGATGCAAATATCTAAGCAGGTTAATGCTAGCATTAAAGTGAAAAAGGTCAAGGTAGATGTCTATAGACTGTACCCAACAAAACTTTGACGAAAAAGTAAACAGCTCGAGGAAACATTTAAAGCTTTACTGGAAACAATTTTCAGATCAGCTCAAGCATTAGTGTCTCCATTAGCAAAAAGTAAAAAATCTGGAAACAAATCAAAAGTTGACAATACACACACACACACACACACATAGCATGCACCAAACTGTTTACAGCTAGGACCAACGAGTTTCCAATAAATAAAGGGCTAACACCAAGGCTTAGCATTAAAACTCATCCTTCTTTAACCCAAGCATCATGAAGCAAAAATCTTTTCTCGTCATAGAGCTTATCCCGAAGGTCCAGCTGCAGATAAATGAATATTATATTTTCAGACCTTAAATTACAAATACAAATGGTGCCATAAGAAATATGTAATTATAAACTGAGAATATATCACAAAAATGGCAAAACTAATTACTTACTGATTTTGATATACTTGCTAGGCCACGCAATTGAATTCCCATTAGCATGTCGAAGAAAAAAGTTTATTAGGATGAGTCCTGTACAAGGGCACTTCGGGTTCAAAGACGTAATTGACCCACACTTCCCAACAATCAGAACTGAGAGGAGCATCATTTACAAGTGTAATAGGATCCAAGGAAACAACTTCACTGGTAGCGGCAACTGATCCCATCCCATTATAATGCAATAACTCACAATTTTCCCCTTCAAAATGTAGATGGGACACTTGTTGAACCACTGGGACAGGACTGGTAGTTAGCACGCTGTGCCTGTAATGGAAAAAAGAAAGAAAACAGTAAATTAGGATAGGTAAAAGTTATTGAAAACAACAAGCACCAGTAGACATGCATTGGCTTCAGTTTCAGCATTGGGTTTGGAGAATCGGAAGTTGTGGCTGAGTAGTTAAATGCTTTAAAGTGTTTTTCAGTCACACCAAATAAATTAAAATATCTATTACCTTTACCGATCTAAGTTGCATCTACTTCAGCTTTGCTGATCTACGTGATTAATTAACACACTAGACATTAAACGGAATGTTTAGACATTTATGTCATCCTTTCCAAAGCTAGATCGTAATTCAATTTGATGAACTGTGGAATTGCACAAGAGAATTCAAAGTATTCTCTCTTAAAATTATGACAGCATTCTTATTATCACATACCCACGACGATTGAATCTGTTCCACTTGTTCCCTCATTTGATCCATTTCGAGCCCCATTTTTTTCCTCATTTGATCCATTTCCTCCCTTTGCTCCCTCATCATTTCATCAACCTTCCTTTCATGTCTTTGGTAATGCTCCTGCACAATAGGTTTTTGAAATTTTCACTAATCAATACATAGGATTTCCACATGATGTTGCTAAAATGAGAGGCTTGAAATTCAATTTTCTGTGAAGAATGAAGCTTAAATAAAGGATAAAAATGAGGCTTGAAATTTAATTATCAGTAGTCCACAATGTAAACATGGGCATTTCAAGAATGTAAAATTGATTCCTAACATACAAAATGGTAATGTTGAAGAAAGATGGCAGAAAGAATCTTTCTGCACAAAGTTTCAACAATTTCATTTTCAATTTTTTTTCCAATTTAGTCCTATCAATCACTCTTTGGCATATTTCATGAAAATACGCGCATAGGCAAAATATAGCAATCCTCAAACCCTTTGGTAGTATTCCGTTTTAAGCTACACGAAGTAATTGTTGCATGAGAAAATGACATTCACGGGATTTTAGGCCACTAATATTGCATTCAACCAATGATACATGTTGCCCAATATTTGAACCATCCATCAAGTAATAACTGTTGTAAACTTTTACAGCATTTCGGGCATTTCCAAACCATCTTCATCACCTCCATTTTTAACATATAGACTTCAACTCTGTCCATGAAAGACCCATACAGTGTATGCGGAAATTATTCTGTTTAGCAAGTGGTCATACACTATATTGAACTGTTGGTATTGTTAATTTAAACAACATTTACAGAGGCATGTAATCTTATCTGGATTCCCTGCATTACCTTGAGCCCTATTAGCAAGACTTCGTGCTCCATTTAAATACTCATTTTAAGTTCTAGAATTGAGAACTCAAATTTTCATTATGACAAGAATGACAAAAACAATGTCTAAACTTTTATGGGTAAAGTTATTTAGGTTATAACAACTATTAAGAAGGTGGGTGCATTCAGCCTTTATCCATGGCTCCTTGCAGACTTATTCAACAATAAACTGACTACTTCTAGTATAAGTGATCGATAAACCTAAACCAAGTTCATTGAAAATACAAACAATGAGATTGTGGTTATATATCTAGACCATGATCACTTTACTAATTAATACTACCTCTGCCCCATAAAAGATGTCCTGTTTGGGGAACCGTGACATGTGAGTCATGGTTCCCCAAACAGGACATCCTTTTTGGGACAGAAGGAGTATTTGACATTGATAAAAAGAATCCAATTGAAGAACTTAGCATCAAATTCAAGTCTATCTTAGAAGTCTATGTAGCATTGCACATTATCTTTTTTAAAAAAAAAACATGCTATGCTACTTGAAATAGGTAAATCGACACATTAACTATGTAAAAAGCATTCATAATTGCATGCTTGTATACAGACATATATGAACTACTTCTAACAGGGAAAAAAAACAAACATATTATAAGCTTTGAAATAACATGCACAAAATAGCCTGAAAGGCAAATCAGTATGCCACATTAGCTATATAACAATCATAATTTTCGTATGTATACACATAAATGAACTACTTCTAACAAGAACAGAATAAAAAAAATAAAAATAAAAATAAAAACATATAATAACATCAGCAAAATAAAGCTACATATGAAGCAATAAAGAAATTACCTCAAAAAGAGAAACGCCAAGATGACTTTCACCATCCTGAGTGTCACTAATACAAGAACAAGGGAATCATTCATTAAGTACTTTGAATGAGTTGGTGAGAGAAGATGTTACGACTATAAAATAAAATAAAATGAAAGAAAGTGTTAAGTCCCGTTTTCTCTTACCAGCCTTTCTTGATACAATCTTTGGTTGAAAAGAATAATTTCTTATAGTTATGGTTTTAAAATGAAAATTTATTTTTACTAAGTAACAACCATTCAAGCAACTCAAAAAAGAAAAAGAAAAAAAAGATACAACCATTACCTCCACCATCAACAAATGCATCGTGAATCCTAATGCCTTCAACTTCTTTCTACAGGTGTAGTTTTCCTATCCCATTCAAGAATGAATAATCTGCATCATAGTGAACTGCTAGCTACTATCCAATTCTAATTAAATTTTGACAACATCTCCACTTAGTTCTCCACCTAAGTAGTACGGGCACTTCTATGAGGTGTGTGATTTTATGGCATGGATTTGGTGACGGGTCGCAACGACCCGTTGGATGAGCTTTGTGCTCATGGGTCGTGGACCCTAATTAGGGTCTTATAGTCCGATATATAAGGGCGCTTAGGGTTTGAAGTGGTGTAAAAGAGAGATTCTGAAATTCGTACAGAAATAAAGCGAGGAGCTGAAAACTTGTAATCTCCGATTTTACACATAGTGAAGACTTTCGCCGGATCTCAACCGTGGACGTAGTTTGTTGCCGAACCACATATAAATCTTAGTGTTCTTTATGTGGTGTGTTTACTTTTCTGTCGTGATTCTTGATTTTATCTTTAGGTTTGTTGCGTTTGTCAAAACAAACTGGTATTAGAGCTTTCGGTTCGAAGTAGGGATGTCGTCCAAGTTTCTGGAAATCAAGAAGGTTAATGGCAAAAATGATTTCAACCTGTGGCGGGTTAGGATGCAAGCTTTGTTGGTTCAACAAAGGTTATCCAAGGCACTGAAGGGGAAGGATGCACTGCCAGAAAAGATAAAGGACGAAGATGAGGTTATGGAGAAAGCACACAGTACGATTTTGTTGTACTTGAATAACGAGGTTCTACGAGAAGTTGCTGGAGAGAGTACGACGGATAGGCTATGGCAAAAGTTGGAGTCCCAATATATGACGAAATCTCTTGCAAATCGCTTGTATCTAAAGAAGCGGTCGTTCACTCTACACATGCACGAAGGTTCATCTCTGAAATACCATCTTGACGAGGTAAATAATATCATCATGGACTTGAATAATATTGATGTCAAGATAGAGTATGAAGATTAAGCTATTATTCTGTTGTGTTCTCTACCACCCTCGTATAAGAACTTTGTCGATACAATGATGTATGACAGGGAAGACGTGAAGGCGGCTCTGAATTCTAAGGAGTTGCAGAAAAGGGCATTTGAGGGCAATGCAGAAAGTTTGACAGAGGAAGGGCACTTCAAAAAGGATTGTCCAGAGCGTAAAAAGGGAAAGGTAAAATTCTCTGAAGTTGAAAGTGTGGCTTTTGTAGAGGGTAATGATTCAGATGGTGGTAATGTTCTCATAATTTCAATCGGCAACTCTTGCGATGAGTAGATTCTTGATTTGGGTTGTTCGTTTCATGCTTGTCCACCTTTTATCGATCTATTGATGGAAGGGAAGTTCTGATGGGGAATGATACGGCATGTAAGGTTGTAGGTATCGGTATAGTTCGAATCAAGATGTATGACGGCATAGTGAGGACACTGACTAATGTCACGCATGTACCAGAACTGAGAAAGAATTTGATTTCCCTGGGTATGTTGGATTCCATCGGGTGCATTTATAAGGCTGGAGGTGGAGTCATTCGGGTTTCCAAGGGTGCTCTTGTGGTGATGAAGGGACTGAAGAAGCATGGTTTATGTACTCTGCAGGGTAGCACAATCACGGGTTCAGTTGTTGTATCGTCCTCGGATCTGGATTCAGATACTACCAGATTGTGGCATATGAGTGAGAGGGGGATGGATGTTCTGAGTAAGCAGGATTTGCTTGGTGGTCAGAAAACTGGGAAGCTAGATTTCTGTGAGCATTGTGTCTTCGGAAAACAATGCAAAGTGAAGTTCAGAATTCACAGGACCAAGGGTACGGTGGATTATATTCATTCTGATCTTTGGTGTTCCTCTTAGGTTACTTCACATGGTGGTGGTAGCTATATGATGACGCTGATTGATGACTTTTCTCAAAAAGTTTGGGTTTATATTCTGAAGTACAAGAATGAGGCTTTTTTTACATTTAAGCAGTGGAAGACCTTGATTGAGAAGCAAACAAGAAAACAGGTCAAGCGCTTGACGACAAACAATGGCTTGGAATTTTGTGATAGAAAATTTAATGAGTTCCGCAAGACTCATGGGATTGTGAGACACCTCACAATGAGGAAGACTTCGCAGCAGAATGGAGCTGCAGAACGGATGAACAAAACACGATTAGAGAGGGCACGGTGTATGTTGTCCAATGCAAGGTTAGACAAAGCGTTTTGGGCTGAAGCTGTTTCTACAGCTAGTGACTTGGTGAACCGGTCTCCATCGATTGCTATCAACTGTAAGACTCAAGAGGAGGTATGGTCTGGTTCTCCTGCTAGTTACAGTAATATGAGAATATTTAGGTGTCCTGCATATGCTCATGTGAATGAGGGGAAGCTTAAACCGAGGGCCAAGAAATGCATATTTCTTCGTTATCAGCCTGGGGTCAAGGGATACAGATTATGGTGCCCAGAGGCTTCAGGATAGAAGATACTTGCTAGCAGGGATGTAACCTTTTAAGAGTTTGTGATGCTTACTCTGTAGAAGGAGGTAGTTGATTTAGGGAAAGCTTAGGGTATCAGTGAGCAGGTGGAGCATGTAGAGATACAGTTAGAGGATAGTCTTGTTTGGTCGACTCATAAGCAGGAGCAGTTTCAGGCTGAGGGAAACGCACAGCTACAGCAGTATAGTGTGGCTAAAGATTGGCCTAGGAGGGATATTAGGCCACCTGAGAAGTATAGGTGGTGTAGCCTCAAACCAAAGCATGCAAAAGTGTAGTGTGCCAAATTTAAATTTATGAAATGCCACTACCACTTCTAAGTAAAAATATAGTTAGCGTGAGTAGGGTTCGTCCCAAGGGATTAGAAGCGTACTTTTGCTTGGAAACAAGGTTGAATTAGTAGGTCGAGTGATCAAAAGGTGATTTGATTGGTTAATTAAACTACAATTTTAACTAAGTGAAAGCAATGTGAAACAACTAAATTAAGTAAAGTGTAGAGAATAAGAGAGAGGTCTTAAGACCTAGAGTTCACCACTAAGCACCACCTTCTTAGATATCCAATATTTATTGGATAAAGGTGAAACATGTGTTGTAAATGAAATTATGTGCAATTGATTGAAATAATAGCATGGATGGTTAAGTAAGCATACATTGTCTAACCAATCTAGTGAATAGTACAACATATCAAGTTAAGCTATTATTCCTTCCTTTAAGCCCTCAATCAATAAACACCCACAATTTAGAGAAATATACTACTTGCATTTAGAAGTATAGAACATCAAACAAAAAGTATGGATTGTCATCCCATCTAAGAAAGTAAAGCAACTACACTACAACTAAGCTAGGGACATGAAAATTAAACTAAGTAAACTAAAGAAGAGGTACAATCCATCAAGAAATGAGCATGAACCATCAAACAAATCACAAGAGTATTCCATTAAAGCACCATGCCTTGAACATTACTAAATTCATAGTATCAACACACATAGACATGCATCAATATCACAAAATCTAGAGATAAACACATGAACATCTATTCTAGCATACATAGACGTATGAATAGAATGAAATGATCAATTGGAAGAATTAAACTACACAAATCATGGTAGAAACAAAATTTATATATATCAAAGGTCAAGACAAGAAATACAACACTAATCCCCATTAATTACAAAACATCAAAGTCTAGGAGGCATGCTTAGGGCTAGCTCTAGCCCCAAGAAGATGTTTAGCCACTCATTGATGTTGTTATCCAACCCTCAAGGACTATCTCCATGCTAAAAAATCTTCTTCCTCCTTGGTGGAAACCCTAGATGAGTGGAAGGACTCCCAAATGGTGTGTGTCTTTCCAATCTCTAGACACCTCCAACCTTTCTTGTGTATCGTGTTCCTTTCTCTATAAGATTGTCTATGTGTAAAATGACTCAAAATCCTTATATAGGTAGCTTAAGTGTCACACCCAATGGTCAGACCTCGTGCACTAGGACCTCCAAATGATTGCACCACTAGCACACTTTTTAATTGGCTGGAACTTTGTTTTTCTCGCACTTGAGGAGGTTCGATCGATCACAAGGATGGTTCGATCGATCGAACTATGGCGGCGCCTTTTTGGAATAAGACAGATCTGAGATATTTTTGGAATATTTTGGGAAAAAGACAAAAGTGGTAGGTGGGGATAAGATCAAAGAAGTAAAATGTTGGATCGATTGAAGATGGGAATTTTCCGGGGATATTCTAAGACCTTTATCTATCTTATTTTCCCGTTTTAGACTAATTTCATGTTATTACCCTTTTCAGGCACTTATCCCCAAAATAAGTTAATCCAGTTGAATTAGAGCATAAAAGATGCAATCTCCAGCTCAATGGAAGAAAGGAGCAAAGTGGAAGCAAAGAAGTGGAAAGCAGCATTCTTCGATCGATCATACCAAGCTTCGATCGATCTTACAGTGATCGTTCCAACCATTTCAAGATGGATCGAGCCTCTTGTCCTCGAGTTTAAGGGGTTTAAATGCGCACTTTTCAGCGCTCATCAATAGGTTTTCACATGCTGATTCGGTTGCTTATGCACTTAGTGTGGCAGAGGATATTGATGAGTCATGTACTTATCATGAGGCCATCACAGGTGAGTCGGCACAGTGGTTTGTTGCCATAAGTGAGGAGATTTGAGTCTCTTCATAAGAACCAGACTTGGGAGCTACTTAAGAAGCCTAAGGGCCAGAAGGTTGTGGGTTGTAAATGAGTCTTCAAGAAGAAGGAAGGAATTCCAAGGGTACAAGATGCGAGGTACAAGGTACGCTTGGTGGCGAAGGGCCATACATAGAGGGAACTTCAATGAAGTGTTTTCTCCTGTGGTGAAACATAGCTCAATCCGGGTGTTACTTGCTATAGTTGCTCTGTATGACTTGGAGCTTAAGCAGCTTGATGTGAAACATAGCTTTCTTGCATGGTGAGTTGAAAGAGCTGATTTATATGCATCAGCCTAAGGGGTTTGAGATTCTGGGAAAGGAAGATCATGTTGGCCTACTGAAGAAGTCCTTGTTTGGGCTGAAGCAGTCTCCTAGACAGTGGTACAAGCAATTTGCCACCTTTTACGGTTGGAAATGGTTACTGCATGAGTAAGTTTGACAATTGTGCGTATCACAGGAAGGTTTCAGATGGTTCGTATTTGTACTTCTTGTTGTATGTTAATGACATGTTGATAGCTTGTAAGAACATATCTGAAATCAACATGTTGAAGGCTTCGCTTAGTGGTGAATTTGAGATGGACCTTGGTGCTGCAAAGAGGATATTGGGTATTGAAATTCACAGGGACAAAGGAGCGGACAGATTGTATTTGTCACAAAAGAAATACATTGAGAAGGTGCTGAAACGGTTCGCTATGCAGGCATCAAAGCCTGTGAATACTTCATTGGCTGCCCACTTTAGATTTTCAGCACCATTGTCACCACAAACCAAGGAGAAGGTGGCGCACGTCTCGTGTTCCTTATGCTAGTGCAGGTGGTCGCTTTATGTATGCTATGGTGTGCACTAGGCCAGACATTTCACATGCAGTTAGTGTAGTGAGCAGGCTAGACCTAGGAAGGTCCATTGGCAGGCTGTGAAGTGGATATTACGAGACTTGCGAGGCACTGCAGATGTTGGGTTGGTCTATGACAAAGGCAGCGACACGTGTGGGAGTGTTGCTGGAGATGTTGATTCGGATTATGCTGGAGATCTTAATAGGAAGAGGTCCTTGGCAGGGTATGTCTTCACTCTTTGTGGGAGTCTGATCAGTTGGAAGGCGACTTTGCAGCCCGTTGTTGCATTGTCTACTACTGAGGCTGAGTATATAGCAGCTACAGAGGTAGTGAAGGAAGCTATTTGGTTAAGAAGCTTGGTTGGTGATTTGGGCTTGCAACAGGATGATTTGACTGTGTTTTGCGACAGCCAGAGTGCCATACATTTGATTTAAAATCAGATGTTCCATGAGAGGACCAAGCATATTGATGTCAGGTTTCACTTCATCAGAGATGTGGTTGCACAAGGTGCTATTGTAGTGAGGAAGATTGGGACAACAGAGAATTCAGTAGATATGATGACTAAGGTCATTCCTACACTTAAGTCCAGACACTGTCTGGACTTGATTGGTACTTGCAGTTGCTGACACCCTTAGAGGCATATAAAGGATGCGAAAGGAGTAGCTGGAGATTGTGGAGCTTGGCGTAATTTGAGCCAAGGTGGAGATTTGTGATGTTTTGGCCCAAATTTGGTGTCAGGAACGTGACCCGCTTATAACCCGATGACCCGTTGGATGAGCTTTGTGCTCATAAGTTTGGAGTGGTGTACCCTAATTAGTCTCTTGTAGCCCAATATATAAGGGCGCTTAGGGTTTGGAGTGGTGTAAGAGAGACTGAAATTCGCACAGAAACAGAAGGGCTGAAAACTTGTAGTCTCCGACTTTATACATAGTGAAGACTTTCACCGGATCTCAACCATGGACGTAGGTTGTTGCCAAACCACGTATAAATCTTTGTGTGTTGCATTTACTTTTCTGTCATAATTCTTGATTTTATCTTAGGTTCGTTGCGTTTGTCATAACAAGGTGTCGTGTCCGTGTCGGACACCAAAACTTCATGATCGTGTCCATAATTTATGGGTAAATTTATTTAGGTTATAATGACTGTTAAGCAGGTGTGTGATCTATTCAAACTTCAAACTGCTCATATTCCAACTACTAATCAAATTAAACAGTAGAGGTGTGTGAAGCTCTGTTAATGATAGAAGAACCCATTACTAGCACATCATTTTGGTTTTTTGCTTCCTTGAGGAGTTTAATTGGTTCGTGTGACACTCGGTCCCCTTCATTACAGAAATGGGTTCTTCCAATGTCTTTGGAACAGTGTTAGAGTCAGGATCTAGGAGGTAGAATGGGTTGGTTTGCAACTTGTCATTCAGCTCATTTGATCCTCGTTCTCGGTTTGCCGTTGGTTCATCCAAAAAATTGGATTGGGGAATGAAAAGCATATTTTGGATTTGGCTTTAGAATTGCTCACGCATATTTATTCTCTCCGAGAACTCATGCATATTTCTTAACCGTTCCTTGTTTCCCATAAATACAAGAAACAAGGAAGTCCATAACTTGAGACATGGATGAATTCCTTCACCTACTACTACACATTAGACAGAAACCCACTTCTTCTAATGGTATGATTTTCATATCAAGCATTGAAGAAGCTACTTCCATAGGACCATCAGGCGTGAAGTTCTAATTAATGGGGCTATAATAGAATGAATGAAATTAGTAATGCATAAATGATATCTTCAATTATTTTCTAAAACCAAATCCGGTAACCCAATAAAGAGGCTAACATTTTTATCTACATCTTAAAAATATCTTAAAAAGTAAGTACTAGTGCTTTCTTACACAATTCAACTAGAAATAGGCCAAAATTAAACCTAAAAATGACCAAAATACTGTGTTAATTGAACTTTAGTTTTCTCTTTGGTACATGCATCGAAGAACCCACCCCTTGCATAGAAAAAATCTAAGTTCGACGATAGTGAACCCCACTGTAGACCTATAAAAATATAGTTCAATTTCAAACTAAAAATTGAATCACTGAAGTATAAATAATGAATACATTGTTTTACAGATGCTAAAAATTCAATGTTATGGTGGCATAGATATTATAATTATATCAATATTAAACCGAAGAAGATAGAATAGAACAGTAGTTACCTATCTAGTTGATAGACCTTCAATTTTTCCTTCCCTTCACAGTGATAGGGTGAAACAAGGCTCTCCACATAGGTCTGCCCTGCTTTAAACATGGTTGGAATGCCACACACTACTATATCTCTCCGTGTTTTTTCCTTAGCATTGAATGCGACAAATTTATTATCTCCATCAACTTCAAAAAGAACCTCCCCATCCACAAAACATAAGAATTTCGTCATGTACATATCAAGTCCACAGACACTGGTAAATTTGGTCCAAGACTCAATCACCCCATACTCCTTCATTACCCAAATATCGGTGGTATGAGAATATTGAGGTACAAGTAAACAGAGACACTCTCCCAAAACTCCCAATTTGCAGCACTGCATATCGAACTTACTGTTGTCAAGTGAGCTAGGTATCTGCACGTCAGGGAATTTCTCATCTGCTAAATCAAAAGCAGCAATCACATAAATGGAGTCCCTGTAGCTGAACCAATGTAAACACCCATTTACAAGAACCAGTGAAGAAGGCGGCTCGTAACTGGAACGATAGCTGTAACTAGAACGATAGTCGGGGACATCTTGAATCCTCCTCCAAGAATCAGTTTTCAGCGAATACACACTTGCACGATTACAAAAGGATTCATCATCATCATCATCAGAATCATAATCATACTCAGGTTCTCTAATATCGATTTCCACAACCTTGTAATCATCTGCAGATGAATCGTACCCAATTCCGTACATGGTGTGATACCGTTGCAAGAACCCAACATTTGGAAAAGGTAAAGGTCAATCGGTGGCAAACCTAAATCAAGCTTCGTTGCCAGTAGAGAGTCGTTAATGGATGCTTCAGTGCAGTCGACAGAGTAAAGATAGTCAGAAATGAGAAGGACCCTCTCGGGTGTGGTGTTGTTTCGATCAAGGTGTGTTTTGGCGAAATTAGGGGATGAGATTAGAGAATACCATGACTTGGCTACGCATTTAAATCGGCAGAGAGACTTTGCGGGGAGTCGATAGAGTATGTCAAGCAGCAGCTCTACGGGAAGATTTGCGCCGTAAGCCACCGCCACCGCCACCGCCACCGCCACCGCCACCGCCACCGCAACAGTGCTTTGGCCGTTTGCGTCTGGCCTCCAGAACTTTTTTAGGGCATGGTTTTGTAATCTGATCTTTCAAAAAAAAAAAAAATCTTTCAAAAAGCAAATACTAAACACAGACGTGTGGCAACTGGCAAGTGACACAACTGAGAATTGATGACGTTGTGTTAAAAAGCAAAAACAAAATGTAATTTGGTAATCCTTTTCAGTTTTAGTATTAAGAATTTTTTAAAGACAATGACAAAATAAGTTTAGTAATTCTATTTTGACTTTTTATATTTAAAATTTTTAAAAATAATTCTTTTATAATTCTCAACTCTACAAATATAAATTTTCATGTTTAATTTTGGTTTTGAAAAACTATTATTTTATAATATTTTAAAGTAAGAAAATATTATTTTATTATTTTTCAATTTTATTCAAAATGTAAGTAAAATTAAAAATATATATATATTTTATTATATTCAAATAAAAATAAAAAATGTTTTATTATTATTCTATTAATTTTCAATTATAAATAAAATATTATATTATTATTTTTTCAATTATACTCAAATAGTAAATAAAATTAAGGAGAATTTATATTGACACCCGGAGGTTTTGGTTAACGCTACTCAATTGACGGTCATTAATTTTTTTTACATTGACAGTCTTTGAGATTTCAAAAATATACATTAACATCTATTCCAAACATGTGAAGCTATGTGAAATTACTTTTAAACTCTTTGACTTGTCAACAACTCTATTTGAATTATAAAATTACAAATTTAACCTCCTAACTAATTTAATGAACCAAACTAATTTATCCATCTCTTCTATACATATAAATATTGTTTATATATAACAATATCAATACCACTATAAATACCACCACAACATAAAAATAAAAAATAATAATAATTTTTTTTTAAAACAACTAGATAGTTATATTCCACTGGTCCACCACAACCACACCTGAACAACCCCACCAGAGTACCAAAAAAAAAAAAAAAATTAAAAACAGCCATGGCCAGCCCAGACTCACCACAACAGGGAAAAAAAAAAAAAAAAAAAAAAACCATGTCCAATCCAAACACCACCAAGCATCACCACAATAGAAGGGGGAAAAAATTGAAAACAGTGATCATTGTTTTTATCTCACCATTCCCACCAATTCTCTTCTCTCCTCTCACAGTCACTTTCCTTCCTTTACTCATCTCAATCCCAAATCCAACACAAGCACAACTACCACACCACAACAATTTTATCCCAAAAGTCTGTGAATTAACTTGCCATAGCCGCCATCTCCTCTACCACTACTGGTAACTCCTCCACCAGCGAAAAAAATGACGAGGGGTGCAATTTACCAAAAAAAAAAAAATATATATATATATATATATATATAGTAAGAAAGTGGGGAACGAGAAGGATCAGGAAGAAAGAGAAAGAGTGTCAGCAACTAGGTACTAATTAAAATAAAGCAAATAATAATAATAATAATAATAATAATAATAATAATAATAATAAAGAGTTAGAGACTAGGGTAGAAAAAGAGGTTTAATGATGAGGGTAGTTTAATTAACATGAGTATTATTTTGTAAATTAATTGAATTAAATAATATGACATTTGAAACCACAAGGGCTGTCATTATTAAAAAAATCGTTGACTTATATATGAGTGACATTAATTAAAACCTTAGGCTTGCCAGTGCAATTTAACCTAAAATTTAAAAATTATTTTATTATACTTGAAAAGTAAAATTAAAAATGTTATTTTATTATTTTTCAATTATACTCAAATAGTAAATAAAATTTAAAAATATTTTATTATACTCCAACAGTATATTATTTTATTATTTTATTAATTTTCAGTTATACTTAAATAGTAAATAAATATTATTTTATTATATTTCAATTATACTAAATGGTAAGTAAAATTTAAAAATATTTTATTATATTCAAATAGTAAAATTAAAAGTGTTATTTTATTTTTTTCAATTATACTCAAATAGTAATAAAAGAGTCAATTTAAAAAATTAAAAAATTACCAAACATATTTTCTCTTTTCAAAAATTCAATAGCAGATATAGTTACCAACGTTACTTTTCACATAAATGACTGCACAGCTTTTCAAAACTTGTCATTTTCACATAAATAAAAGTACAACTAAAAATAAAAAAAATGTTGTGATATATAATATATTTAGCATATGATAATTTATTATGAATAAATACATGTACATGGATAATGTATACATTTATTATGTGATATATAATATATTTAGCACATGATAATTTATTATGAATGAAAAAGATTAAATAATATCTCTTATATGTAATAAAATATATATTTTGTTATAATATTATAAATTAATTATAATTTAATATTTACTTATAATATAATATAGATATGATGTATAATAATATAAAATATCTACTGCTTAGTAATTTAATAACATTATATTCTATATCAAAAATTATTTTGTTATAAAAAATAATTTACATTATTATTTAATATATTATATATTAAAATATACTTTTATCAAATAAAAAATAATATACAATATTTAATATATTGTATGTTAAAAATATATATTTTTATGAACATTTAATATGCAACTTAGTATATAACACAAATAATATGAATTTTATTTGAAATAAATAGTGCCTGTGTAGTAATATTAGTGAAAACGTTTCTGCGCTACAGTACCAAAAACATAGGAAACATCCTTTTTATGTTTCCTCTTTTCTTTACAAAATTGAAAACGTTTTATGTTATAGAAAAACAAAAATATTTTATTGAAAGCGATTTTTGTTTTCGTTTTTCCTTTTTAGAGGTTGACAATAGAAAACATGAAACGTTTCTCGTTACTAAACGTGCCCTTGGTAACCTTTTCAATTTTAGTATTAAGAATTTTTTAAAGACAATGACAAAATAGGTTCAGTAATTCTATTTTGACTTTTTATATTTAAAATTTTTAAAAATAATTCTTTTATAATTCTCAACTCTACATATATAAATTTTCATCTTTAATTTTGGTTTTGAAATACTATTATTTTATAATACTTTAAAATAAGAAAACAGATATTTTATTATTTTTCATAATTAAAAAAAATTATTTTATTATTTTTCAATTTTATTCAAAATGTAAGTAAAATTAAAAAATATATATTTTATTATACTCAAATAAAAAAAATGTTATATTATTACTCTATTAATTTTCAATTATAAATAAAATATTATATTATTATGTTTTCAATTATACTCAAATAGTAAATAAAATTAAGAAGAATTTACATTAACACCCCTGAGGTTTTGGTCAACACCACGAAGTGGATGGTCAATAATTTTTTTTACATCGACACCCCCTGATATTTCAAAAATATACATTGACATCCATTTTCAGACCTTTGAAACTATATGAAATTACTTTTTAATCATTTGACTTGTCAGCAACTCCATTTAAATCATAAAATTACAAATTTAACCTCCTAACTAATTTTAATGAAGCAAACTAATATATCCATCTCTTTTATACATATAAATATAGTTTATATATAACAATATTAATACCACTATAACCACCACCACAACATAAAAATAAGGATTAATTACACTCATATTCCTTGAGGTTTGCCATATTGACAGTTAGATGAAAGTTAGTCTCTTTTCGAACAATGACACCCCTGCCAAATTTTGTATCCAAACAAAGCTTTAAAATATGTGAAATGTCTACTTTACCCTTAATATCTTATTAAATTTTAATATAAAATATATCAAACATTAATTGACCAGAATGCCCTAAATAAGAAAATTCAATATTAATAGGGCAAATTTCACGAAACCCTTAATACTATCAGTTTTTTTTATCAAATATCCCCAACCTACTTTAGAAAACCCCCGATACTATGAAAATTGATCATGTTGCACCAGTTATGTGATTAAATAACGAAACTACCCTCTTGATATACCAAATTAATTAAAAAAGTCAAAAATAATATGTTATCAATTACAAAAATAGCTGGACGACATTTAAGTCACCAAAGCACAAACCCTACTAATCCCACTATCAGGCCACACGAGTCACACGTTGCCCCTTCCGACATCATACCCAGATACTCTTTCTCACTCTAACTATGTTGAAGTTCAAGTTCAAACGGGTGGTATGATTTTAAACTCTTTATCTCGTAATAAATCAATATTTATCTTCCTTAATTATTCACACACCAAGCAGTTCTCTCTCTCTCCTCCTTATCTCTATTTTCTATTTCTGTGCTGAACATAAGTGGGATGCATGTGACTGACACAGCTCTAACCATGAATGCTTTCTTGTGCTGCTTTGAAACCACCACTTTACGTCTGTCAATAACATAAACAGCTGAACCAAACTAAAACTAACAACTCTCAGGAAACAAATCTCTGGTACAAACTGGTTTTACCATGATTTTTGTCTTCCTTTCAGACCCCACACCTCTCTCTCTCTCCATTCCCAGCTTCTCATTCTTTCTTTCTCTCTGTAAAGTCCCACCCCTCCTGTAATCTGTATTTAAAGTCCACTCAAACATTCTATCTCCTTAAGGCCCAGTGACCCACTTTCAGTTCTTCTTCGTCTCTATCATTCTCTTTACTTTCTCTCTCTAAAATCAAAGACCCATTTCGTTATTTACCTAAAGATGAGTGAGAAAACATCTTCTAGTGACCTGAATTCAAAAACCCATTTGGAGGTTTTCAAGAATTTCAAGCGCTGGAATCGTTTGAAGCCCTCACAGGGGGTTCTTGGATTCTTCTCTCTCGCTGCTTGTTTCCTTTTCTACTTCGTTTACTTAGATTATCGAGCTGTGACGCGAGGGTTTCGCTCTGGTGGGCGGCCCGGGTTAATCACGTGGTTCGGAGAGAGAGAGGTGTGGAGTCGGACGTTAATTAACCCTATTTTTATAATTGGCAAAATACCAATTTTAACTTTTTAAATTAATTTGATATATTAGAAGGCTGTTTTCGTCATTTAATTAGGGTTGGTGCAATGTGATCAATTTTTATAGTATTAAGGTATTCTAAAGTTAGTTGGGGGTATTTGATCAAAAAGTGATAACTAGTTTTTACTTTTTGTTTTTTTCTCACCTCTCTAGTCTTTCCCAAGAGCAATCCAGATCCGTGTCTTCTTCCATATCTTGCTACCAGGGAAAAGCTCCAATGAAGATTCTGACGACAAATATCCGACCAAAGGCTCCGACGAAAACCAAATCGACACATTGCGACAATGGTTGCTGGTGACAACAGTAAAGCACAACTCCGACGACGAAGTATTAGATTCCAGCGAAGATGTAGCAGTGAAAACACTCCGAGGATGATAACGGAAGACGACGGTTGATGAGGACGAAAGCTTGGGAAGATTCAAGTAACGATTGTCGTAGATTCCGGTGAAATTGTTGGCGATGGGTGTTGTTGTTTGGTTTCGAATCGTGCGGCTATGGTTTGGGCTTGTGAATGGGTATTGCAGCTTAGGTATGGTAAGAGTGGATTTGTTGGGTGCAAGACGGAACTCTCTGTTACCTTTTCCCTAACCCTTGGATCGTGTCATTGGTGACTCTTCTCTAACCTTAATCTCACTTCACGTTATACTGATATTTTGGGAAATGCCTAACAACAACGATGGAATCAATTTAATTGATGTGTGTAAACATTGTATTTGTACTTTATATGTAGATTGTTTTTCAAAAAATCAGTTTATTATTTTAAATTTTTTTCTCAACTTTTGTTTTTGGGTTTTGCAATCAAATTTTGGCTTGCTTCATTGTTTGAAGCTTGAGGTTTCATATAGTCAATATTGCATATATATATATATATATATATATATATATATATATATCGTGTGTGTACATGTTCAGTATCAATGGAGATTCAATATATAACAGCATCAATGAAGATTCAATATATAAGCGCATCAAATGAAGATGTCTCTCTCTAAGGACTCTATTTCCATATATATATATATATAGATGTCTGTGTGGGTGTGTGTGTATGTATATATATATATATATGTAATGGGCTGTGAATTTGATAATATAGTGAGAGAGGGGATTAAAATTAGTTAGGAGGGCATTTAAGTCATTTCATAATTGAAAGCTTGTTGTTGACAAGTCAAAGGCATATCATATGTCAAATGTGGCAGGTGAGGATTGGAGGGTCTTTGTTAACTTTATCAAATTTGAGGGGTGTCATTGTTTAAAAAGAGGTTAACTTTTATCTGGTTGTTAAAAGAGCAAATTTGAAAGGGTGTGAGTGTAATTAACCCTAAAAATAAAACAGAAAATTAATTGTTTTTGAAACTAGATGTACACCACCACAACCACACCCAAACAACACCACAACAATCCCACCAGAGTACAAAAAAATAATAATAATTAATTAATTAATTAAAAAAATAATATAAATAACAGCGATAGCTAGCCCAGACCCACCATAACTAAGAAAAAAAAAAAAAAAAAAAATCAACTATGTCCAATCCAAACACCACCACAACAGAAGGGGAAAAAAAATTTGAAAACAGTAATGGATGTTTTTATCTCACCATTCCCGCCAATTCTTTTCTCTCCTCTCACAGTCATTTTCCTTTCCTTACTCATCTCAATCCCAAATCCAACACTAGCACAACTACACCGCAACAATTTTACCCCAAAGTCTGAAAAGAATGGGGAAGAAATAGAGAAAGTGTCAGCAACTAGGTACTAATTAAAATGAATAAAAAAAAAAAACAAAAGAGTTAGAGATTAGATATTAGGGTAGAGAAAGAGGCTTAATGATGAGGGTAGTTTTATTAATTAACATGACTGTTGTTTTGTAAATTAATTGAATTAAATAATCAGGACATAGATGACATTTGAAACCACGAGGGGTGTCTTTGTTAAAAAAATCGTTGACCCGCACATGAGTGACATTAATTGAAACCTCAGGGGGTGTCAGTGCAATCTATCCTAAAATTAAAAAAATATTTTATTATACTCGAAAAGTAAAATTAAAAATGTTATTTTATTAATTTTCAATTATACTCAAATAGAAAATAAAATTTTAAAATATTTTATTATACTTCAATAGTAAAATTAAAAATGTTATTTTATTAATTTTCAATTATAGTTAAATAGTAAATAAATATTATTTTATTATATTTCAATTATACTTAAATAGTAAAAAAAATAAAAATATATATATTTTATTATATCCAAATAGTAAAATTAAAAGTGTTATTTTATTATTTTTCAATTATACTCAAATAGTAATAAAATAGTCAATTTAAAAAATTAAAAAATTACCAAACATATTTTCTCTTTTCAAAAATTCAATAGCAGATATAGTTACCAAAAGTATTTAGTTTTCAAATAAATGACTACACAACTTTTCAAAACTTGCCATTTTCATAAATGAAAACACAACTAAAAATAAAAACCACAGTTTTACCAAACAGACCTTAAAAATCAAAAACAAAAATAATACAGGCTTGTTTGGGAACTAAAATTGTTTTATACTTTTGCTTTGACAGAAAGTACACAATATTTTTGCTTTAGAGTATTGAGAAGTACCGTATATTTGTTGCAAGATTTTTTGAAACAAAAATTTGAAAACAAGCTTAGTAAAAAAATTTGAAAACAAGATCTTTACATACTTTGCTTCTTATCGTGTTCAACATATATATATATATGAAATGCTTGTTCCCCTTTTAACACACACCATTGCAATTATAAGATTATGCTTTTGAATCTAACCAAAAGGACGAGCCTTTAATCTGAACATTTTTGGTTTTATCAAACAATACAGCCCTTGCAAGCTGCTTGAAATAAAATAGAACTTATGAAATGCTTGTTCCCCTTTTATCACACACCATTCCCAATTATAAGATTATGCTTTTGAATCTAAACAAAAGAAACACTATATTCTGATCTCCAATATTAAGCACCGAAATCTTCTCTTTAATTTGACAAGCATTTGATGAACAACCTCATGGTTTGTCTATACTGTTTTATTTTGGCATTGAGATTAGGGTCAATCTTTGCCCCTTCTTTAAATTATAATAATAAATAATAATAATGCTTTCAAGGCAACTAAGCTGGCAGTATTTTACTGACTAGAGATACAAACTTGGTGGTGTTGCACATGAAAAATAAGATACAACGTCCATTTTTTTTTCTTGCCTCTCTTGTGAACGTTTTCTAATCTGAAAGGACCTCTTCATTGCACTTGACCGTCTCGTATAACTTTTAAAAACACGTGTCACTTTTCCATAATTACCGGTTGAGTTATATTTGAAATGGGACACGAATTTACTCCATGCACTTCTCACTGTAACATTTGTCACATCATCATCCAGTTAGCATCTGACACAATAAAATTACTGATGTAGTATTTCATTTACCATATATAAATACCCCTTATACTTATACTAATATATCTTATAGATTATACATATAAAAATACATAATTTACAATTACATCTAACTTTATCCCTCATTGGATATATCCCTCATTGGATAATTTTCAGTGAGAAGCAAATGGAGAGAATTTATTTCCTTGAAATGAGACGTCTCGCACTTGAAGCGCCACGTATAACATTTAAAAAAACACGCTTTACTTCACTACACCTTTTAAAAACACGTCACTTTGCCACACCTTTCATAAACACGCTTTACTTCCTATACCTTTTAAAAACACGTGTCACTTTCCCATACCTTTCAATACAGAACAGGGGTGTCTATGACTAGTTACGTATGTATGTTTAGTTAAGAGTATAATAATAGTATATCAATATTAGTGTATGTTTGGTTGGTGGGTGTCTTTGGGAGAGCTGTGAAGTGGAACACAGGAGAGATTCAAGCAAGGGCTTGAGCTTCGTGTTAATGTTGTTCTTGACTAGTGCTTCTACCCAACCATCTGGTTCAACAGATTCAAGAATGAAAAAGTAAACATTTAAAGCTTTACTGGCAACAATTTTCAGATTTTCTCAAGCATTAGTGTCTCCATAAGCAAAAAGTAAAAAATCTAGAAACAAAAAATAAAGCTGACAATATATATATATATAAAATCTGGAAACAAAAAATAAAGCTGACAATATATATATATATATATATATATATATATATATATATATATATATATATATTAGCAAAGCTCCAAACGGTTTAAAGCAGGGACCAACGAGTTTCCAATCAATAAAGGGCTAACACCAAGGGGCAGCATTAAACTCGTACTTCTTTAGCTCAAGCGTCACGAAGCAAAAATCTTTTCTCGTCTCAGAGCTTATCTTGAAGGTCTATGCTGGTAAATAAAAATTATATTTTCAGACCTTGAATTAGAAATAAAAATGGCGTAATCGGAAATATATCATTATAAACTAATAAAACATGAGGACTTTGGAAAAACTAATTTACTTACTTATTTTGATAAATTTGCTAGGCCATGCAATTGAATTTCCATTATAGCAGGATCCAAGGAAACAACTTGAACGGTAGCGACAACTGAGCCTGTCCCATTATAATGCAATGACTCACAATTTTCAGAAGATGGGACACTTGTTGAACCACTGGGACAGGATTGGTTGTTAGCATTCTGTGCCTTTCATGGAAAAAAGAAAGAAAATAGTAAATTAGGATAAGTAAAAGTTATTTAAAATAATAAGACCAGTTGACATGCATTGGCTTCGGTTTCAGTGATTGGTTTGGAAAATCGGAAATTGTGGATGAATAGTTAAATGCTTTGAAGTGTTTATCAGTCATACCAAATAAATTATGTATATGAAGTATTAAGATTGTATATAAAGAAGTGTTCAAAAGGGGAACAAACGCATCCCCCAGAAGCTACATCAGAGCAAATAGTTTCTTTTTTTTTTTTTTTTTTTTTTTTTTTTTTTTTTTTTTTTCTCTCTCAAAAGCTACATAAGACCAAATAGGGCCTCTAACTCTCAAAGAGTCTAAAAAGTCCACTATCTCATCCAAGGATTTACAATTTCACCCAAAACCCCTAACAAAAAATATAACTAATAATGGAGAATTTCAGCATACCAATAGAAAGTCTCATTCCCTTCAAAGGATCTCCTATTTCGTTCAAGCCATAAACACCACCCAGACGCACAAAGGCGCGATCCTCCAGAAATCACGAACATGGTCCAACACTGGATAGGCGTGTGATCCTCCAGAAATCACGAACATGAACCCCCACTACATAACCTATCCACGCCTCAATCAAGCCTTTATCAGATCTGGGTATAACCCATTGATCCCCAAACAAGCCAAACATCAAAGCCTAGCAATCCTGAGCCACTAGACAATGTAAAAGGAGATGATTAATGTGACGATTCGCATTTTTCCATTTTTTGAGGATTTTTCCATTTTTCAGATTTTTTTTATTCACATCTCGATTTGCGTGCCACGAGGGTTCCGAGAGTGGTTTAGAGCATTTATTTGAGTTTAGAACTCTTAGAAATGCATTTTGCCTCATTTTATCATTTTTCAGAATTTCAGACCGGGAGGTCCCGTGTGGGGCCCCACGCCTGTGTTTCTCATGCTCGGGGTTACTTCTCGGGGTCACTACATTACATTATCATTATTTGGAGTGTATCTGTGTGCTTATGTGTTTAATTGTGCAATGTGGAACTTTTGTTGATGTGTTGATGTGTGTAGCATGAAGGGCATTTTGGGTAGTTAGTGTGCATGGTGGGGACCACCATGATCTTGGGTGACTATATATGAGGCCCTTATTGATTTTTGGCCTCATTTCTTCTCCTCTCTCCACTGACACTTCCTCTCTCTCCCTCCTCCTCCTTCATTTTTCTTTTCCTCCATTTTTACATATATATGAGCTTGTGTAGCATGCATCTCCTTTGAGATTCGATTTGGGCTTTAGTTGAGGAAGTTGTAGATCGGGTCAAGGGGAGCAAGGCTATCGTTCTAGATTTTCATTTAGTGCGTCTTGATTTTTTGGACCAAGGTTAGAGCTTGGATTTTGGGGTGGCTTCAAGAGGGAAAGTAGTTCTCCTCTTCTTCTTCTACACTTTGGTGGGCTTAAATTGCAAATTGGTGGAATTTCAAGTTGGAGCTAAACTAAGGATTGCCTTGCTTTGAGGTAGGGGTTGTCTAACTTGTGTAATCCTAGGTCCTTGTAAGTAATTTTTGTTTTCCCCCTTAAAAGCATGCTTAATTTTACATGAATTGGTTGAATTGGATTATAGAGTTTTGCCTATAATTATTACTTGTTAAATTGTCGCTTGAATTGAGGTCAATGCTACTTATGCGTTGTTTAGCATGATGGTTTTGTGGATATGATCACTAATTTGAGAAAAACTATATGTGCTATGTTGTTGGTTCCATGTTGCAAGTGACTAATTTGAAATGGATAATTGCGAGCTAAACTATGTCTAGCATGATAATTAATGATGAATTGTTTATATAAAACTATCATTTGTATTGAAATGCAATTTATGTGGGTTGGTTGCTAATGTGGGTCTCTTGATAAATTGTTACAAAAGTATGTTTATTATTTTAATTGTAGTTGTGTGGTGATGATGGAAAGCATGTTAGACTTCATTCTCATGACATTGTTCATATCATGATGTAGGTGGATAGAGTGGTGTGTGTGCGTGTGTTTGGGAGGATGTGGAAGAATTTGACTTGGTGAAGTTTGTGGAATAAAGATTTTCTCAAACCGGAGTTAGGGAGGTACCTCAATGTCGGTAGTACTAATTAACCATAAGGATGGAAGAAGGTACCCGAAGTCCAGTTAACTAGTACATCTTTGGTGTGGGTGTGTTTTAGTTGATTGTGTGGGTGTGGTGTGTACGCATAGTGCATGGCATTCATTTGGCATTGGAACATAGTTTATGTGTTCTTGAAGGTTGATAGTGAATGAAATCCCGTGTCTGTCCCCCTTGCATCTTACTATACTCCTATGTGTTATGTGCCTTTCTTACTTGACTTGAGGAAACTCCATTTAGGCATCCTCTATTGAGCAATGGTGCTCACCAGTTTATCTTAAACATTTCAGGACTCCGAAGAGACGGAGTGGACAATTCATCTTCACCATTGTAGACCATTTAGGAAGTGATATTTGATGTTCATTGTAATCCTCATTATTTGTAGTGTCTTGAGTTCAATCATGTTATATTGTATTCATTCTAATGACACTGTAATTTTTATTATTTTGGGGTATGTAATTGGTAACAATGGTATTATATATATTGTAATTTTTACAAAGTGTTGTATTAATATTGTAATAATATTCTTTAGTATTGTAAATGTAATAATTATGTAACCCACGATCTTATCACGTTAAAGTTGTTTTGTTTGGGGTATTAAATATATATATATATATATATATATATATATATAGTGTTTTAGTGGCATTTTATAGTGTATTGGTGGTGGTTTTAGTGGTTGTAATTTGGGTGGAATTGGTTGGGTAATAAAAGAAACGATTAAATACATGTTTGGGGAGAACCGGTGGACACAATTTCACTGTGGATGTTGGTCCACGTGAATTATTCACAAGTCGGCTGAATGTCCCAAACCAGTCGACGCGTAATGTACACACATCGACCAGTTCCTACTATATACATTTGTGATTTATTTTCCCTTTTTTACCCTTTATCACCCATTTATTATTACTAGTATTTACCATGTGACCCAATAACAATGCAATTATTGTGTTTTAACCACATTTTCGATTAGATTACCCCTGACTTCATCCTAATCATTAGATGTCCATGGCAAACGACTGTTTTACCCTTTTTGGGTCTTAAACCATTATAATTGAGTTAAACAACCATTTTGCCATTGTTGGGTCTTAAAGTATTTATTTATTATGAAAAGACCTTAGTACCCTTGCATGTCCTCGGGTTCGGGTAAGGACTCGGTTAACGATTCGGACCCCGAGTTCGGGTCGTTACAATTAACCGCTTCCTCGTCTCCATTGCACATACAACAACAGTTCACCACAACTTATCTCCTCCTCTTAAGGTTATCCTGGGTCAATATCTTTCCCAACACAGATGTCCAAACAAAGAAAGCCACCTTGAGGGGGCCTTAGAACGCCAAATAGTCTTCCACAAGAATGCATCTCCTGGAGAATTCGTAAGAAATCTAAAGAATGACCGAACCTCAAAATGAACCGTAGAAGAGGGGACCCATATCACAGAAATAGGGACGCCACTCACAATCTCTTTATAATACAGCAACTCCATAAAACCAACTGCTTCCTAAATCTCCCAATCTTGAAACTCGAAAAATGCATATCCCATGATGATCTACCACTGTCAATATGATAGCAGTCGCCTACCAAGGCGTGTCTATCAGTGGCAATCCTGGGAAAGAAGAAAGTAAGAGACTACTCCCCACACCAAACATCCTCCCAAAAATGAATTCTGTTACCATTCTTGACTCAGAACCTAATATACTTAGAAAATTCATCCCATCCCTTTATGATGATTTTCCACACGCCAACTCCACTGGGATGTCTCACCTCCAGCGTACACCAGCCACCTCTGTCCTCCCCGAATCTACTTGCAATCACCCTCCTCCGTAGTCTCTCTCTCTCAACCAAACCTCTATAACCATTTCTCCAAAAGGGCCTTATTAAAAGGCACCACTCTGATACCCAACCCATTCCTAATTGGACAACACACTTGCTTCCAATTAACCAAATGAAATTTGAACTCCTCCCCCTTCTCTCCCCAAAGAAAGTTCCGTTTTAATCTCTCTATCCTCTCGGAAACAGAATAACGAATCTGAAAGAGAGAGAAGAAAAAAGTAGGAAGGCTCACCACCACGAGATCCCAATTTCCCACCCTCCTCGACAGCATCCTGAGGGGAAGCACCAAGTAAGAGATAGGGTAAGAGCAAATGCAACAGCCTAAAGTTTCAGTTATGCATATGAAGTATTTATTACCCTTACCATTATAAGTTGCATCTAAAGCTGAAGAATAAGTTGCATCTACTTCAACTTTGCTTATCTACGTGATTAATTAATACACTAGGCATTAAATGGAATGTTTAGACATTTGCTTCATCCTTTCCAAAGCTAGATCTAATTCAATTTGATGGGTTGTGAAATTCCACAAGAGAATTCAAAGCATTCTCTCTAAAAATTATGACAAAGCATTCTTATTATCACTTACCCAGGAAGATTGAATCTGTTCCACTTGTTCACTCATTTGATCCATTTCAAGCCTCATTTTTTTTTTCCTCATTTGCTCCATTTCCTCCCTTGTAATCATTTTTTAGAAAGCGTTCAAAAGAGGAACGCATCCCAAGAACAACATAGAAGACGAAGCCACAGAAGAGGGATCCTAAGGACATAAGGAACCCAAAAAATCAACTATCTCCTCTATAGATATACAATATCTCCCCATCCACCAACAAAAAAAGAAAGCTAATAATGTGGAATTTCAACATCCCTATGGGAGACTCCTCCCCATCAAAAGATTTATTGTTCCGCTCCTTCCAAATGCCCCACCAAACGCAAAAGGGTGCCACCCTCCAAAAAACACAAGCGTGGTATTCCACACAACACCCACTCCAAGCTTCAATCAAACCTCTCGAAGATTGAGGCATAACCCACTTCCCGCCAAACAAACCAAAAATAAGACTCCAACGATCGTGAACCACATGGCAATGTAAGAGAAGATGATCCAGTGACTCTTATCCCTATTACACATGCAACACCAATCCACCATAACCTGTTTTCTTCTTCTCAAGTTATCGAGCGTTAAAATCTTAGCCCAAGCTGTAGTCCAAACGAAAAAAGCCACCTTGAGGGGAGCCTTTGAGTGCCAAACTATCTTCCAATGAAAATCAGCTCCCAATATGCTTGAGAGGCAGTAGATAAGGAACAGACATCAAATCTCCCTTGAGGAGAAGGCACCCAAACAAGGGAATCAGGGCCACCACCATCCAGTGTCTGTCTATACAACAAAGCTAGAAAATCAGAAACGTCATCCAACTCCCAATCGTGAAAATGATGTTGAAAGCGCACATCCGACCTAATCCTCCCGCTATCAAGCCGATAACAGTCAGCAATCCAAGCATGTCAAAGTGTTGTCTTCATCATCAAATACACATCACTAAACATCCCATAGGGCATTTCCAAACCATCTTCACCACCTTAATTTTTTACATATGGACTTCAACTCTCCATGAAAGACCCATACAGTGCATGTAGAATCCATTCCGTTTAGCATTAAGTGGTTGTACACTATATTGAAGTGTTGGTATTATTAATTTAAAAAATGTTTACAGAGGCATGTAATCTTATCTTGATTCCTTGCATTACCTTGAGCCCAATTGGCAAGACTTCGTGCTCTAGTTAAATAATCATTTTAGTTCTACAATTGAGAACTCAATTTTTCATTAAGAGTGAAATTAACAATGTCTAAACTTTTATGGGTGAAGTTATTTAGGTTAAAATGACTGTTAAGAAGGCGCATTCAGCCTTTATCCATGGCTCCTTGCACTTATTCAACAATAAAGTAATTACTTCTAGTATAAGCGATGGATAAACCTAAACCAAGTTCACTGAATATAAAAACAATGAGATTGTGATTATATATCTAGACCATGACCACTTTACTAATTAAAATTTGATAGTGCTAAAGAATCCAATTGAAGAATTTAGTATTAAATTCAAGTCTATCTTAGAAGTAAATGTAGCATTGCACATTATCTTTCTTTTTTTTTAAAAGTCATGCTACTTGAAAAAGGCAAATCAGTATGGCACATTAACTATATAAAAAGCATCCATAATTGCATGCTTATATACATGCATATATGAACTAATTCTAACAGAATAAAAATAAAAATAAAAACATATTATATGATTTGAACTAACATGCATGAAATAGCCTGAAAGGCAAATCAGTATGCCACATTAGCTATTTAACAAACATTCACAATTTTTATATGTATAAACATATATGAACTACTTCTAACAGGAACGGAAAAAAAAAAAACATATAATAACATCAACAAAATAAAGTTACATATGAAGCATGTGTGTGTATGCTATTTCAAATAAGGAAATTACCTCAAAATGAAAACTGCCAAGATGACTTTCCCCGTCCTGAGTGTCACTAATACAAGAACAAGTATTTTAAATGAGTCAGTAAGAGAATATGTTATGGCTATAAAATAAAATAAAATAAAGTCGTAAGTCCCATTTTCTCTTACCAGCCTTTCTTGATACAAACTTTGGTAGAAAAGATTAGTTTCTTATAGTTATGGTTTTAAAATGAAATTTTCTTTTTACTAAGTAGGAAAAATTATAGCAACTCAAAATAGAAGAGAAAAAGCAAACAACCATTACCTCCAACATCACCATATGCATCGTGAATCCTAATGCCTTCAACTTCTTGCTACAGGTGTAGTTTTCCTATCCCATTCAATAATGAATAATCTGCATCACAGTGAACTGCTCGCTACTATCCAATTCTAAGAAAATCTTGATAGCATCTACCCTTAGTTCTCCACTTAAGAAGCACGGACACTTCTAGGTGTCGTGTCCGTGTCAGACACCAACATTTAATCACCATGTCCATACTGCTTTATCGGTGAAGTTATTTGGATTATAATGACTGTAAAGAAGGTGTGTGATCTGTTCAAACTCCTCATAATCCAGCTACTAATCAAGTTAAACAGTAAAGGTGTGTGGAGCTCTATTAATGCTAGAAGAAGCCATTACAAACACATCATTTTGGTTTTTTGCTTCCTCAAGGAGTATAATTGGTTCTTGTGACACTCTCAGTCCTCTTCATTACAGAAATGGGCTCTTCTAATATCTCTGGAACAGTGTTAGAGTCAGGATCTAGGAGGTAGAATGGGTTGGTTTGCAAGTTTTCATTCAGCTCATCTGAATTCTGATATCATTATTTGAACACATGATCCTCGTTCTCGATTTTGCCGATAGTTCATCCAAAAAATTGGTTCGGGGAATGAAAAGCATATTTTGGAATTGGCTTTAGGACAACTCAAGCATATTTTACTCTCTCCGACAACTCGTGCATATTTCTGAACCGTTAATTGTTTCTCATAAATACAAGGAAGTCCACAACTTGTGACATGGATCAATGAATTCTTTTACCTAGTACTACATTAGCCAGAAAACACACTTCTTCTTATGGTTTAATTTACATGCAATTTCAATCAAGCATTGAAGAAGCTAATTCCATAGGACCATCAGACGTGGAATTCTAATTAATGGGGCTATAATAGATGAATGAAATTAGTAATGCATAAATGATATCTTCAATTATTTTCTAAAACCGAATCCGGTAACTCAATAACGAGGCTAACAAATAATTTTATCTACATATTAACAATTTCTTCAAAATTAAGTAGAGGTGCTTTCATACACAATTCTACGAGAAATGGGTCAAGATTAAAGCTGAAAATGACAAAAATACTATGTTAATTGAACTTTTGTTTTCTCGTTGGTACATGCATGGAAGAACTAACAGCATTCTTACCATGTCGTAGACAACTTTTAAGTTCAACAACATTGAACCACACTATAGACCTATAAAAATGTAGTTCGATTTCAAACTAGAAATTGAATCATTGAAGTATAAATAATGAATACATTGTTTTACAGATGCTAAAAATTCCATGTTATGGTGGCATAGATATTACATTATATCAATATTAATCAGAAGAAGAAAGAATAGAATCATATTTACCCTTCACAGTGATGGGGTGAGACGAGGCTTTCCACATAGGTCTGCCCTGCTTCATACATAGTTGGAATGCCACACACCACTATATCTCTCCGTGTTTTTTCTTTAGCATTGAAGGCAACAAATTTATTATGTCCATCAACTTCAAAAATAACCTCCCCATCCACAAAACATAAGAATTTCATCATGTACATATCAAGTGCACGGACACTGGTAAATTTGGTCCAAGACTCAGTCACTCCATACTCCTTCATCACCCAAATATCGGTGGTGGTTCCCGTAGTCTGATGAGGTACAAGTAAACAGAGACACCCTCCCAAAACTCCCAAACTGCAGTAACTCAAATTAAACTTACTGTCGTCAAGTGAGCTAGGCATCTGCACAGCACCGAATTTCTCATCTGCTACATCAAAAGCAGCAATCAAATAAGTGGCAGACCTGAAAATGAACCAATGTAGACACCCACTTACAAGAACCAACGAAGAAGAACAAGGCGCCAGACGAGAATGAGAATGAGGGACATCATGAATCCTCCTCCAAGAATCAGTTTTCAGCGAATACACCCTTACAATTGCACGATTACAAAAGGGTTCATCTTCGTCGTAGTCCTCCTCCTCCTCCTCGACATAATCAACATCTTCTCTGAAATCAATTGTCAAAACCTTGTAATCATCTGCGGATGAATCGTACCCAAGTCCGTACAGGGTGTAAGTATCAAATGAGTCGGAATTAAAAGGGGATTCAGGTATCGTCTGGGATTCCATGGTCAGTGGATTCAACAAAAGCATGGTAACTTCAGTCATAAATAAAACCAGACCGTTGCAAGAACCCAATATTTCAAACTCGTGAGGGTTTTCAATCCGTGGCAAACCTAGACCAAGCTTCGTTGCCAGTAGAGAGTCGTTAATGGAGGCTTTAGTGCAGTCTACGGAGTAAAGATAGTCAGAAATGAGGAGGACACTCTCGGGTGTGGTGGTATTGTTTCGATCAAGGTGTGTTTTGGCGAAATTAGGGTTTGAGATTAGAGAATACCATGACTTGGCTACGCATTTAAATCGGCCGAGAGACTTTGCGGGGAGTCGATAGAGTATGTCAACCAGCAGCTCTACTGGAAGGTCTACGCCGTTTGACATAGCCACCGCCACACTACTTTCGCTGTTTGCTTCCAGACCTCTGAGCTGCCAACTGAGAAATGATTATGTCGTTTTTAAAAAGCAAAAAGAAAAACTAATGCTCCGAGGGATGGAATAATCATCCTAAAGGAAGGAAAGTGCTTCCTTCATTTTTGTTTTTTTTTTTGTTTGGTTAAATAAGAGGGACAACAGAAAAGATTGATGGAATGCTAATTTTTTTTTCTTTTGTTTGATTGGAAAGAATAAAATGATAGTTTTTATATATTTTTTATTAATATATCGTTACTATATTAAGTTATAAAATTAATTAGTTTAAAATTATTTAATAATATTAAATTCTACTAATAAGTTGTCTAAAATGAGTGTTTTATACTTACCTACCAATCAATTTTTTTTTTTTTTTAATTTAAAATGAATGTGTTTTTTTTTTAAACATACCAAATAATTAATTAATTTAAATTTATTTAATAATCACTATAATTGTTTAACACGACAAGGTTTTAACAAATTTTTAAGAAAGATTAAAATGTAAATTATAACAAATTTTGGTAGTTATCTTTTTTTTTTCTCCACTCTCCTCTCAAATTTAGCGGATAGAAAAATTTTGGTAGTTATCCTTTTTCCTCCCTCTCTTCCATTCCCTCCGACCAAACATGAAAACATTCATCCATTCCTCCTCCCATTCATCCCTCCCCAATCCCCCTCCAACCAAACATAGCATAAGGGTCATTTGAATTTGAAATCAGAATTTACATCATAATCACCTAAATATAAATGAAAATTATGGAATTTCAAATACGGAATATAAAAATTATGGGATTTTCTTAATTATTCTTGTTAAATATTTACTTCACCTATTTTAATCTCTAACTATAAATGTACTTTTCACAATTAAATTATTTTTTAATTTATTTAATAACAATATATTTTAAAATCACCTGTTAATTTTTCAATAATATCCTTATTTTTTGATAATAATAACCTTGAAGAAATAAATGTAATTGACTTAATAAAAAATAAAAAGATAAAATTGTCCAATGAGTTGCCTAAAATAATACAGTTTTGAAAGTTTCAAATTTCAACTTTATTTAAAAGCTGAACTAAATTTGATAAATATTAAAAGTGCTTTTAATGATTACCAAACGTATCTAAATGTATTTTTTCAAAATAAATTAATCCCAAACAAGTTTGTGATTGTTATTTATATAATATTATATTAATATCTCGCTATATATATATATATGACTAATGATATTCTATTCGATCAAATTGGCCTACTCTATCAACTGATACAAATGTAGCTGGAAGTTGGATGATAAACATGGCCTCGGAGGAGAGGGTAGGACTTGACAGCTTTTGGGAGAAGATACTTTGGGAGGCAATAAACTTTTGAAGTTTTTTTTGTTTATTTTTCCTAATCAAATTCCCAAAACTTATACAATATATCGAAACCAAAATATATATTGCAAAAAAAAAAAAAAAAACATGAATACGTACTTTCAATTTTATTAGGGTTTGTTTTTTTCTTTTCAAGTAAACACATACGTTTATATGTATTTTCACATTTGATTTTATGAACGAATAGAGATTTCTCAACGTATTGTTTTCCCTTTCAATTTTGCAAAGTGGAAAAAAAAGAACCTGAGTTAGAGAGAGAGAATCAAGAAAATCAGAAAAGATAGAAAGGGGTAGGTTGTCAAAATCTCTTCAACTTCTTTTCATATTTATTTTTGGTATCTTTAATGCGCAAATAAAATATCAACTATTTAGGTAATTGTGTAATAGTTATACGTACGATCCAGACTAGGTCAGTACGCTTCAGTAGAGGCATGTGTGTGAAGTACCAAAAGAAAAAAAAAATTAATAAATATTATTTTAATTTCAATTCCTATTCCAGTTTCAATTTTCTCTTCCAAATTCCAAAAAAAAAAATTGTTTCTAAACATAATGTAAGACTTCCTTTGGATAAACATGAGAAAAAAAGATAATAATGGTGTTCTTATTTTAAAAAATTAGTGAAAAAATAATAATAATAACAATTAAATTATTATTATTATATCCTTTTGAATCAAAATTCAATCTCACCTCAACAGGAGGTGGATCGGATCATTCACGTCCAATTCTTTTTTCTTTTCTTCTTCTTCTTCCTTTTTTTTTTTTTTGAAATGAGTTGACCATTATTAATCAAGGGACTAAAAACGTATAGAATAAAAAGGAGATGGGAGTGAAATAGTGAATGGGCGAATTCTAGTGAGTCACACTCAAACTTGAGCTTTAATCTTTTGACAGAAAACTTATACATTTTTACTTCATTCCCTCAGAATTATTGCTTAAACACAAGTACCATTACTATCAGTGGTTTACTTCTAGCTTCCTACAGCATAGAATATATATGAAAATCCAATTTTTTTTTTTATTTAAAAAAATTAAATTTTGGCATCAACATTTTTTTAAAATAAATCAATTAGTTTGATTTATATATAAATTACTACTAATTAACATGAACCTTGCAGCACTAATGTTGGGCAAAGTTAGACGCTCTTATAAATACATGGTTTTTGCTTTACAAGATTATATACTTTTAAGGCTCCGTTTGTTTGCACGCAAAATATTTTTCAGAAAATATTTTTATTTTTTATTTTTTGGTGTTTGGTTGTCGTAAAATATTTACGAAGAAAAAAATATTAAAATTTAATAAAAATAATTTATTCATAAATTTTCGACAAGTTATTTTACATACCCGCCTAGACCTCAATTGACGTAAACATTTACCAAACAAACAAAGGGAAAAAAAAAAAAAGGAATATTTTACCTTAAAAAAAAAAAAAATCATTTTCTAAAAATAAAATTTTACTTCAAAACAAATGGAGTCTTAATAATGATTTGTTTCAACATTTTAAAAAATATATATTTTTTTCCTTTAAAGAATTATATACTTTTTACAAATGATTTGTTTCAATATTTTTTTAAAAAAATAATAGTTAACGAAATGTTTTACTTTTTTTAAAAAATAATAGTTTACGAAATGTTTTACTACACAAAAACTAAAGATACACAACACGGCTCGATATAGCAACCATGACCCTATCAAATCTTTTTATTTTTGGGAGGATGTCATATGAAGATAGCATCAAGGCCCGAGTTGGTCTGGAGCAACAGTTACCTCAATTTGAAAACTCAATTATAAAAAGATCTGTTTTCTTTATAGTATATAGTTTTCTCTAAAAATGATTTTATGTAATTATTGATAACTATTTTCCAAGTTACTAACCAAACAGGTCTAATTTCTGTTCCATTCTTCCTGCTTTCTTGGTCTTTATCTACTGCTATTGATCCTCCCACGATTACCTTCTCTGATTGTCTTGCCTTTTCATGGTCCAATTTGCTCCTTCTTTCTTTCATCTGCTCTCACCAGCAGTGCTTTTCCAGTGAATTGCCGACAAGCACAATTCAAAATTCTGCTTGCTTCTGGTACAGTTCTGTTGAGGAAGGTGAATTTATACCTTCTAATCATGAGACTGAGTGAGTAAACTAATGGGAAACTTCCTGGTCCCGCTAATTAGGGTTCGACACACGCTCCTAGCAACATCAGGAGAAAGTGCACACGGCTCTAGTTCTGAAAAATGAGATGTATTTTAAGTGGATGGATGATGAACTTTGGGCATCATATGTCTCCTTTGCTTAGTTCCAACCTACTTTGACACCATAAAATATTAAAATCAAAGACGACGACGAGGACAAAAAAAAAAAAAACACCCACATGCAGCATCCCTACCACTTTCTGGCACCAAATAAGGCATTTGCTAGCTGCTTTCAGGAAGTCATTAGAAAGAAGCACAAGCAGAAAATGACCACCTGTATAGATAAACATATAAACAACATCCAAAATATTCCTTTTATATATATAAACAATTCAAATGGTAAACAGTTACCATTCAGTCCAAGTAATACTAAACCATAACATGGAAAGCGATACAAGATTGTGCCATCACCAAACAAAGGTGCTATTCTCACTAACTGAACAAGGAAGAACTTCACCATGGTTAAAACCAAAGCCATCACTTAAGGCTCCACAGCTAATACCATTTCCTTTTGTCAAGCATACCGATGAATTTTCTCCTCCAGTATGGATCCTCGAGCATCTTCAAGGCCTTCTCGCAAACTGGACTTTTTACAATTGCAATGGACTTGAGGGAATCCCAGAAATCTGATGGGGACAAATGATCAGTGATAGAATTGGAAACCTCAATGCTCCTTGAGCTCGAACTTGAATCCAATTTATATCTTTTTGCTTTTTCCACTGATTGTTCTGTCCAGGATCTATAGGCTTCAATCATTGATTCAAGAACACTAACCAAAAGAATGTTTGATCAGAGACGATCAAGAAAACATTTTTTTTTACAATAATAATAATAAATAAATGAATAAAGGGGGTAGCAAAAGACACTTATGAAAATCAACACATGAATTCTCATAAAATCACATAAATATCGTTCAGAAACTCTAATTCATCTATAAAAGTGAAAGAAAACAAGGAGTATCAAATTTATAAGAAATTTAGAAAAGATATCCAAATAGCCCACAAACAAAATTCAAACCATTGAAAAGAAATTAGTAAGTTTTTGGTTCTTTAACTAGTTAATCCAATTTAAACAAGAAAGAAAGGAGTAATTCTGTTTGTTAAAGGAAAAATTATAGGATATGGAAGATCATTAGAATCTAACTAATCATAATTACCTTGTTGCACACATCGTTATCTCAATAAAAGAGAATGGTTACAGAAACATATATATGAATGAATGACACTTTTTCTAATCTTTTAACAGATCAAGTTTAAGAATTAATGAATGACACTTTTTCTAATCTTTTAGCAACAACCCATGATGGCTCCCATTTTGAGTCCAGTCCCAATGATTGCACTCTCTCTTTGATCCTGTGCAGAATGCACTAGAGCAAGTCAATTTGCAATAATGCTCTTACAATTTGGATAAGGATAAATGAATTCAGTTTTGAACCATTAGAAACCACTTATTGCATGCATCCTTATTTCTATGATAAAAGACATTAACAAAATTGACAAATATCAGTCAATATTTTGGAAAGGGAGAAAAAAAAAAAAAATCAACAAGAAAAAGTACATGCATCACTATTAAGTCATCATCATCACCACATATCAAGATGCTTCCAAAATTGCAATGTCTAATTATATCATATCTGTATCAAATAATTAGGATTTTGTATCAACTAGAATATTCCACTCTTTTGCTTTTAATTCTCACATTATTCTCAGCTACACTGCAAAAGCCAAAGAAAATCTTCTGCAATGTCTAACTATATCAACTAATGATGCGGGTGAAGAAGAGGAAAGGAGAAGAAATACAGAACAAGAACTAAGAACAAAGAAAGGAGTTTGATAACAAAGAGCAAAGAGCACTTTCAACACAAGACTCAAGTGGTTGACAACTTTGAATTAAACACAAACTTACAAGACCCAAAATACCAAGAAAAAGTAAATAGAAGTAGTTGGCAAAACAAGTAATTTTTCAAGACATCTCTTGATCTTCCAAAGGGCCACTTAAGCATCCACATGGCATTGGTGCCAGGTAGGCACTGCACCATACTTCCCGGGTGAGAAAGAACTCGTCCACGAGTTTGCCACCAACTCTCCATGATATTCCAACAAATCTTGAACATTGAAAGTAGGATAAGTATGAATATTGGGGAGGGAGTTCAACCTTGTAAGCATTGTCATTGATTTTCTTGAGAACCCGGCATGGACCAACCTTCTTTTGAGCTTGTTGTACGACCTGGCTGGACATCTTTCTTTCTTCAAGTAAACCCATACAAGATCTCCTTCCTTGAAAATTTTAATTAGCCGATGAACATTAGCGGCTTCCTTGTACTTCTCATTACTTTCTTCAAGTTTCTTTCTCACTTCTTCATGAACTCTCGCCATGGACGTAGTAAAATCCTCAACCTTCTTATTAGGCAAAGATGGATTAGGAATTGGTGCAAGGTCAAGGTAGTGTCTTGGAGCTTGTCCATAAACCACCTCAAATGGACTCTTTCTGTTTAAACAATTCACCACATAATTGTAAGCAAATTCGGCTTGAGGAAGAAACATGTCCCATTGCTTTGGTTTCTTTGCTGCCAAACGTCTATTCACCACTTCGGTTTGTCCATCCGTTTTAGGGTGATAGGCACTACTATAAAGCAAATTAGTACCAATCCTCTTCCACAAACATTTCAAAAAATGACCAAGGAATTTGGTATCCCTATCCAAAACAATGGACTTGGGAACACCATGATGTTTAACCACTTCATTAAAATAAAGATTGGCAACATAAGTGGCGTCCATAGTCTTCTTGCAAGGAATGAAATGAGCCATTTTAGAGAAACGATCAATAACCACAAAAATGGAATCATTTCCTCTTTGTGCTTCTGGTAAACCACAAAATCCATGCTAACATCTTCTCATGGAAACTTAGGAAGTGGTAGTGGAGTGTAAGCACCAGTATTTTGAGTTTTCCCTTTGCAAGTTTGGCATACTCGGCATCACTTCACATAATGGGCCACATTTGATAAATGGTAGACCAAGCAAGATGGTTTTATCTCTCCCAAAGTGCCTCCCAAGCCGCCCGAATGAACTTCCTTAATGATATACTCTCTAAGGTAGCATTTTGGAATGGACAAGTGAGCTCCTTAAAGAGGAAATCATTTTGGAGAAGATAAGTCTTCATGTCGCCCTGCTTTACAGAGTTTTCAAATTTCACCAAAATCTTCATCTTTGGCTTACATGTCTCTAATAGCATCAAACCCTTCAAGTTGAACATTATGGAATTTAGAAGTGCCACTCTTCTACTAAGAGCGTCTGCCACTTGGTTGCATTTGCCACTTCTATGTTTCAACACAAAAGTGTACTCTTGTAAAAAAGAAACCCACTTTGCATGTCTTCGGTTTAAACTTCCTTGGTTGTTGATGTGTTTGAGAGCTTCATGATTGGAATTCAAAACAAACTCCCTTTGAATTAGATAAGACCTCCAATGCCGAAGTACTTGAACAATGGAATAAAATTCCACGTCATTTTTTTCCTTGCTTCATTGAGTTTTTCGCTAAAGAAAGCAATCGGATGGCCTCCTTGGCTAAGTACCCCACCAATGCCCACATGAGAGGCATCACAATCAACTTCAAATATCTTCTCAAAGTCCGGCAAGACAAGGACGGGTGCGCTGGACAGTTTTTCTTTAACAAGTTCGAAGCTTTTTTCGGCCTCGGTTGTCCACTTGAACTCTCCTTTCTTCATGCAATCAGTCAAAGGGGCTGAAACAGTGCTGAAATTCCTTACGAATCAGCAATAAAATGTAGCCAATCCATGAAAACTCCTCACTTCTTGCAAGCTTTTTGGTGTAGGCCAACTTTGGACAGCTTTGATCTTTTCTTCATCCACCTTTATCCCGTAGAAGTCAAAACAAAGCCTAGGAAAGCTAGGCTATTTGTCATGAAAGAACACTTTTTGAGGTTTACATAAAGTTTTTCTCCTCTCAAAATGGTTAGAACAGCCCTCAAATGCTCCACATGTTCACTTTGATCATGACTATAAAAAAGAATACCATCAAAGTAAACAACAAAAAATTTACCAATGAAAAGTCGAAGCACTTGATTCATTACCCTCATGAAAGTGCTTGGAGCATTGGAAAGACCAAATGGCATGACAGGCCATTCATAAAAGCCTTCACAAGTCTTAAAGGCGGTCTTCCATTCGTCGCCCGGCTTGATACGAATTTGATGGTAGCCACTTCTAAGATCAATCTTGGAGAACACCTTAGCACCGGCAAGCATGTCTAACATGTCATCAATTCTTGGAATGGAAAACTGGTATTTGATGGTAATCCGGTTAATAACACGACTATCCACACACATACGCCACGTCCCATCTTTCTTTGGAGTTAACAAAGCCGGCACCGCACAAGGACTCATGCTTTCTCTAACATACCCCTTCTTTAACAACTACATGACTTGCCTACTCAATTCTTCATGTTCTTTTGGGCTCATCCGATAATGAGCCTTGTTAGGAAGACTAGAACCGGGAACAAGATCAATTTGGTGTTGAATGTCTCTCAGGGGAGGAAGACCATTAGGCAAATCATTGGGTGTGACATCTTGAAACTCTTCCAAAAGAGGTTGTAGCTCACTAGGCATATCAATGGGATGCACTTATTTAGCAACCAACATATATACAATACTAGTTTCATCACTTCCATAAATTTTGACAAAGTCAGAAAATTACTACCCTTCTCTTGTGAAGATTTGGGATTTTTTTCCTCTTTACTTGGCAAGAGAACAATTTATAATTTACCCATTTTAAAGGAGTATATGTTCTTATGACCATCATGGGTAACACTACTATCATATTGCCAAGGTCTTCCTAGGATTATGTGACACATATCCATAGGAACAACATCACACCACACTTGATCACTATAATTTTTGCCCATAGAAAATGAAATAAGACACCTTTTGAAGACTTTTACCTCATTTCCTTTCTTGAGCCATGCAATCCAATAAGGCTTTGGATGAGGCTCGGTTTGGAGTTTGAGCTTGTTCACCATTTCTTGTGAGACGATGTTTTCACAACTCCCACCATCAATAACAATTGTGTACACTTTGCCATGAGATTTGCAACGAGTCTTGAAGATATTAGACCGAAGCCAATCTTCATTGGATTCAACTCTAGGAGTGGCAAGTGCTCTTTAGATCACCAAGCTTTCGCCTTCTTCGGGTTCAATCTCCTCACGTTCAAATTCACATTCTTCATCATATATGGGCTGATTTGAATCATCAAAGACCCCCTCATCAATGTCTTCATTACCAAAAGCCACACGAGCATCAACTTGCCTCTTTGGACATTCGTTGTAACGATGCCCAACTTGGCCGCATTTGAACAAGAAATTGGATTGTTGTAGTGACTAGATTGAGCTCCAACACAGTTGGTAGGGACTGATTTTCCAGAATTTTTACTCGCATCTCCAAACTTGGAATTAGTTCCTCCACCACGAGAAGATTCTCCTTTAAAAGAAGGATAAAGACTACAAACATCCACAAACTTTTTAGCACCACTACGAGCAAGTTTAGCCTCTACTTTCAAGGCTAATTGGCAAGCATCATTGACCCTCCATACTTGACGCATTTCTACTTCATCGCCAATTGGAATTTTCAACCCACCAATATATCTTGACACAAGTTGTTCTTCGGTTTCTTGAATGTCATTCCTGGCCATGAGTTTGAAAAATTCTTCGGTGTAATCTAACACTTTGCCATGAGATTTGCAACGAGTCTTGAAGATATTAGACCGAAGCCAATCTTCATTAGATTCAACTCTAGGAGTTGCAAGTGCTCTTTAGATCACCAAGCTTTCGCCTTCTTCGGGTTCAATCTCCTCACATTCGAATTCACATTCTTCATCATATATGGGCTGATTTGAATCATCAAAGACCCCGTCATCAATGTCTTCATTACCAAAAGCCACACGAGCATCAAATTGCCTCTTTGGACATTCGTTGTAACGATGCCTAACTTGGCCGCATTTGAAACAAGAAATTGGATTGTTGTCCAACAAAGTTGGTAAGGGCTAATTTTCCAGAATTTTTACTCGCATCTCCAAACTTGGAATTAGTTCCTCCACCACGAGAAGATTCTCCTTTAGAAGAAGGATAAAGACTACAAACATCCACAAACCTTTTAGCACCAATACGAGCAAGTTTAGCCTCAACTGTCAAGAATAAATGGTAAGCATCATTGACCCTCCATACTCGATGGATTTCTACTACATCGCGAATTATAATTTTCAACCCACCAACATATCTTGAAACAAGTTGTTCTTCGGTTTCTTAAGTTTGTAACACTTTACCATGAGATTTGTGCACACTTTGCCAT